TAGGAGGCCATGAACTGCCAGTACATTTTATCGACGGTCCATGGCCTTCAAATTTTTATGAGAGGCTCAGTCTGCTTTTTTGGAAGGTGCAATCCTTATCCGATAACCAAACTGCTTCCTTTTTTAACAACTTCCGTAATGGGCCAGCGATAGTGGCGAGTTTCCCGACAAACTTTCGATAGTAATTGGCCAGTCCCAAGAACAATCGCAACTCGGTCAACATGTGTGGCGTTGGCCAATCCCGAATTGCTGCTATTTTCATATCCTCAGGTTTTACTTTATTTCCATCTACAACGTGTCCTAGATATGGCTCTTGGCACTTGGCCCACTCACACTTTTTCGGTTTCCTTGTAAACCTAGCTTCTCTCAGTTTAGTTAACACAAATTGCAAATGCTTTTGGTGCTCGTCAAGAGTTTTATTAGGAGAGGAATCAGAATGTTATCTGAGTAGACGAGTATAGATCAATCTAGCCAGGCCCTAAACAACTCATTCATGCATCTTCGAAACAAAGCAGGGGCATTAGTCAGTCCAAACGGCGGTGCTACAGCTTGTAGTGTGTGTATTTCATTCAGAACGCCGTTTTGTGTTGATCTTCGGGCTGTATGTCTATCTAATGGTACCCAAATTTCTTGTCTATCTTTGTGATGTGTTTGCAGCCCTGTAGTCCGTCTAATAGATCGCCGATGCGCAGTAGTGGGTCTGCAGTCTTCACGGTTATGGCGCTCAGTCCCCGGTAGTCGATGCACATTCTCATCTTGGGGACAATAGGACCGGTGCACTGTATGGTGAGGAATTAGGCTTAATTCACCTTCTCGATCAGTTATCTAATTGCTTCCTCAACTCATCTAATTTGTGGGCCGACATCCGTTAAATGGGCCCCTTTGGAATCTTGCTCCTGGGCTCAATCTCTATTCGGTGCTTGATCTCTCTTTCAACTACTCTGGTCAGGGCTTCTCCTACATCCGCGGACACTTCCTTTATATATCCCGTACTCGCCGGCCTTACACATGCCATGAGCACTTGGTCACCTAGTTTCTTCTTGACCACGTGTCGGGTGAATGCAAGAGTACTCATGTAACTAGGGGACAGGGCGGACTGGACACTGGACAGGTGGAAAAGCCTGATCTTTTACTTTCTTACTTCGCTGTTGGGCAGCCAGCACTTGTGCTCGCCCAATTTGATATCGGCCTGGGCTGCTTCTCTCTAGTCCGTCCCTAACAAAAGGTCGAGTCTTCCACTAGGCAAGTCAGGCAACGCAAAGCCTTCTGTACACTCTTCTCCCCCTCCACCGGAAGTATGCCTTCACCTTGTCAACATAATCTTCAACTCTCATCTCCTACCGGCTACACTAATTTCAGAACTTCCGCTCCAAGGTGCAATCAAACCATTTTTACCAAATAACTGCTGGTCGATCCATTATCAACTAAGGCTTCTCGCATTCTTTTAACTTCTACATCTGCCAAAGTTAGCTGTCCTTTACTCTACTTTTTCATTTCGGTGCAAACTTGGTGGCGAATGATCAGTTCGTTTCCTACGCTTGCAAGGGAGCCACCTAGAGAAACCCTAGCACAAGCGGTCTCTGAGCATCCATCTAGGCGGGGGCCTACTTCAGCCTCCGCCATTGGGGCCTGCAAATAGGAGAGTGTCAACTCAGCGCGTGCTTCTACTTGTCTATCGAAGCCTGCAGCTTTAGTAGGAACGCTTACCATTCCTGTTTGCCATTCCCTTTTGTTGGATGATGCAATTCAAGGTAAAAGGGAGTGATGTGGCCGGGGTCCCCACACTTAAAAGACAATCCCTCTTCCCTTCTCTTCCTCCATTGGGCTCCAAGCATCTTCATGGCCTTGTAGGTTTCTTCTTCAGGGTAACCGGCATTCCGAGTATTGGTGAGAACAAAGTGCCCACCCCTTCCTCATTGAGGGAAGGGTTCGCCTCTGCCCCCTTGTGTGCGATCATATCTCCTACATCCCCCATGGAAGCCTTTGTTGCTTTCATCACCCTGGGCAGCAGGGCCTCTACCTCCCCTTCCTCCACCACAGCCTCCTCGACCTCAACCTCCTGCACGTTCGCCGTTGCGGGCAACCACAGCCGCATAATCCCCTTCCTGGGCTACTTGGCTGTCTCCTTCCTCTCAACCCTTAATCAATCTGTTCATAGGGGAGTTCCTTGACTCCCCCTCCCTTTAAAGTCACGAAAGTCACGAAAAGGCCATCTTTCCCGTGAATGTTTTCGGAGATGGTCTTACCGTTCCATTTCTTACCTCTGACGAGGTCCTTGTAAAAGTGGAAGTTGGCCTATTTCAAAAACCTGGCCTGTTCTACGGCACGCTTGCGAAAGGCCTTATAGGTCTGTTCGGGCTCTTGGGACTCAACATATAGACACGAGACGACCATTAACACTCGTCCCTCGTACGGGATCTTGTGCGCCCAAAGGTACATCTTCACCGCCACCTCCCGCTGCCTGATACTTTCTTCTTTCTTCCCATCGCAGATGAAGGGAACTTTGACTTCGATCGTGTCCCTTTGTTCCCCTCACTTTCTCCTTCCTATCCTTTCCCCTTACGGTCTCTATCTCTATCTCCATCCCCATCCCCATCAATGCATCTCCTCCATCTGGTTTCCTCCACTTTCGCCACCTCCCAGATGTTCTCTTTATCCTCGCAGCATACCCTTGACATGTGTCAGGCACCATGTTATACAGTTATAGGTATGGTCCACCATGCTGCCCCACTTGTCTGTCACCTCAGCCTGGTGCTTAGCCAGGTTTTCCACAATTACTCACAAGGCAGCAGTCTCGTTAGCAGAATGGGGAACCATTTGGGAGAGAAGGGCTATACGGGGTTAGATACCTGTTTCGTTCTATCTTTTAGTTGGTCTATCAGTGCTGCCCCTTCCTACAACATCTTCTTCTTTTGCTGTAACCTCTTCTCCATTGCTTGTCTTGCTTGCTCAAATTGCTGCTTATGCTCCTGAATCTCCTTCTCCTTCCGTATGGTGGCCTGCACTGCTTGGCTTTCTGTCTCGAGGGTCTCCGGCAGCTGACCCCTTCGGGCACCCCAATGTCCTCTTTGAACCTCTACAGGGCCTCCTAAAAACTGGCTGCAGCTGCTGGCGGCGGGGTGCTAGACTCAGCCGTCTCTTTGCGCTTCCTCTGTCCTCAGAACCTTTTCTCCATATTTTTTTTGTTTATTCTTCTCCCTTCTTTGGTTTCTTCCTCCTCCTCAGACTTCTTTTATTCTCCTTTGGTTTATTCCTTCTCAGACTCCACTTTCTTCATCTCCTCCAATATCAACGAGGAACAATATGCGGATGCGCGGTCGCAAGGTATAACACTTCCAGAGAACAATCTGGCCAACCTCCCACCTCTCCTCTGCCTGGCCAGGCTGCATCTCTCGCCTTGTGCATATCAGACAGATTCTGCCACTGATAGTGAGAGGGCCCCTTTAGAGGAGTATTGGTGCACCGTTGCATTGTGTGTGCACACAAGGACAGTAGATAAGAATAGCAAGAAGAGAGCTTCCCTATATAAATCCAAATTTGTACGCATACCTACAGTAATGTTAGCAAGTGCGTCTCACGATCTCTGCTCCAATCACTATGAAAAGGTGGTCACAGCCAGCCTCGGCCATGCGAATTATGACCCATCTTTGTCTTGCATTTGTCCCCCACTTGCCCCCCCTGCCCCCTCCCTACTTAGTTGCCCAATATGCTATTTTGCCGTTGACGTGTCATGCTGGAATAACTGTGGGCCTGAGCCTGCTTTCTTGCTGGCATGTCAGCAACATGCCTTGTGTCATCCATGTTTTAGGAAGCTTGTCATGAAGGTATGTGTCTCTACTGCATGGACTATCCCCGATGTCATCACCCGCCACGTTCTCTCCATTCATGTGGCCCGCATGTATGACTGCACTTTCTCCGGCTGCACCTGTAATTGGACCTTCTCCATCCCCGCTTGCCGAATGAGGAACAGAGGAACAGACACATCAGCCTGAGGTGGAGAAGAGACCCACGTGAACCAGCTGCAGTGCATCGCGCTGAAAGGTTATTGCCACTAGGGTGAGCAGCTGCGGACCAGATCCTGCAACAGCTAAACACACTTACTTTTCATCGGGACGGTCATAGCCTGTGCGTAGGTAAGCAATGTGGGCTATGCAACCTCAAGAAACTTGCGCAATGCCACACTGTGATGAAACACCTGATGTTCAGTTAGCAAGCATGTGATTGCTATCCTCGGTGTTGTGAGGATTATGTGAGGGTATCACCCGTCCAAGGTTTTGTTTTCATAACTATGATGACAGTCAACATTGTACTTATGCACAACACGCTGACATGGCATGGCCTATTTGTAGACACGGCTGGCAACGGTAGTGCCTTTATCTGACCCCAGCAGGAGGCCAGGCCATGATGCCTGATATTGCACAGGCGTCCCCGCATGACAAGCAACCTTGCCGCCAAAACAGCATGCATCTTCTGTGTCAATTATGCAAGATGCTGGCTTTAAAGATGTGTTTGAATGTGATACCGTATACAGTGCTGGGTAAGTAGTCAATGGCGATTGCCCTGGTCATCCTGTGCCTATTGGGTTGTTGTAGATTTTTGGATGTAATGAACAACATGATGCCTGATTTTGCACAGGGGTCCCCGCATGACAGACAGCCTTGCTTCCAATACAGCACGCATCTTCTGTTCAATTTTGCAGGATGCTTGCCTTAAAGAGATGTGTTTGAAATTTGAATATGATACCGTATACGATGCTGGGTGTAAGTCAATGTTGCGGAGTGCCTGCCTGGGTCCTCCGCCGTGTGGCTTTTGGATTGTAGATTTGATATTTAATGTTGACGATGTTGTAGTCGGCCAATTTTCTCCATCAACCTCTGGCTTGCTCCTAATCCTCTAGTGTTTTGGCAAGTCTCCTTTCGGCGACACGTGGTTTCATCCACAGTTTTTTAAAGGCCTTCTTACTGAGTTAGTACTTGCGGTTTTGTTTTCTTCTGTCGTAGGCCATATCGAAGCCTGCGACTGGTGATCGCATACGTGTATATTGGCCAGGTGACAAAGCTTGGTGTTCAGGCTTAGTGCAGAGCTTTGACCAAACTACAGGAAGGGTGGAGATATTCTACGATGATGGTGAGATAGAGCGTGTGAACCTCTTTCATGAGACGTGGGAGATGGATGACCCCGTGGCGGAGGATAGCAATCCACATGACGATGGAGAACAAGGCTTGAGTGATGAGCAGGGATTGGGTGGGGATGATGCGGACGGGTTGGAGTGGTCACCACAGAGTAGTAAGGAGCAGGAGAGTGGGGATGGGATGGCCGGATCTGGAGGAGGAGGTCAGAATCGGCAATCGCGGCCGCCATCAGGGGCTGCTGGACACAGTGGAGAGCATGCGGAGGGTGGAGGAGGACGTGCTGGAATGGCAGCACATGGTGCTGGAGGCTCAAGCTCTGTCAACATGGGATGTCAAGGGGGTGCAACGAGCGGTGGGGGGACCACACTTAATGGAGGCATGCGGAAGCACCAGCGAAAAAGCCCAGTCCCAAGGCGAGGGGACGTTGGCGTTGTCTCCACAAATGGAAATGCAGAAAGTGCTGCAGGCCACACAGAAGGAGTGGATGAATCTGGTCATATTACCAATGCCAATGGGAAGCGGGTGCGGCGACCAAGCGTTCGATTAGGGGATATTGGAGATGGAACCATTGTGGCCTTATGCAGGCTTGACAGCAAGAAGAAACCAAAGCAGGCAACGCAGCAGCAGCAACAGCAGCAGCAGCAGCAGCAACAACAGCAGCAACAACAACAACAGCTTGTGCCACAGCAACTGGCAGAAACACAGCTGCAATCTAAGAACCAAATGGAGGAACAAGCGAACAGAAATGGTGTACAGCAGAAGGGAAAATTTGTTTTCAAAGAGCCAGCAGCACCATATGGCGGAGGTAGGGGAAGCAGAGGAGGGGGGGGAGTCAAAGAGGATGTCGCTGGCTGTCTTAAGAATGCAAACGGGGAGTCGGGAGGTGCTGGACACGCGTCTGGGATAGATCTTGCGAAGAGTGGGCAAGCAAATGGCGATGTGCATCACCCCAAGACAATAGGTCATGCTCGGGGAAGGAATGGCATGATGAGTCCCGGTGAGAGAGAGGGCACAAGGCGAATGAGATCGCAACATTTACACACACCTGCGGCATGCGACGACCGATCATGCAGTATGTCGCATGGCGGCTCGTCTGTCCAAGGCCATACTGATGCTAGCCCCCTCCTCTCGAGGACTGCGAATGGACAAGTTCGCAGTGCGCAACAAGGACATGCTTTGGAGGATTCCTTGGGACAGGCGGAAGCAGCTTTGAAGGAACCTGCGCAGATCGTCGCCACTGCAGATGGTGAGGAGCGGACGGATGGGGTTGGCACTGGAATTACAGCAGCTGGGCTTGGCAGGGTTGGTGGTCTTTTCGGATTAGGGAGGATGGGTAAGACGAGAGGGAGCAAAGCGAGAGCGCGTATGGGTGTGGATGGAGTGCGGGCAAAAGGCAGGAACTTGAGGGCAATCAATGTGATAAGCAGTAATGCAGCTGCGTCAACGCAAGCCAATGGGATGGCCGCGATGGGCACAGGGGAGGAAGAAAAGCAGGGTGGTGGTGATGGAGGTATGTGCATTGCTCAGCCTGACAGTGCTGAGGACATGCCGCCGGGTGAAAAGGTGCAAGAGCTACCCGGGCAATTTGTGGACATGGATCGCCCTCTGAGCAGTCATGAACAGAACCCGACGACATCCTCGTGGGATGCCCGTGAGAAGGGAAGAGGTAGAGAGGGAAGCGCAAACAATGCTCAAAATCTTTTGATCAGTGATGGAAATCAAGGGTCCGAGAAAGGTGGCACGGCCTGTAGAGCATCGGGACCAGGAAGGGGGGTGGTCACAGTGGAAGGGACAGGGTCGATGCTAGGAGAGGGGGAGGCTGGGGCCGAGTTTCAGGCATGTAAGGGACTCCACCAACAAGAGGGATGTGCAGGGGATGATGTTATGGACTGGGGAAGAGTCAGGGAGGGGGCCGTTAACGTCCATCATGTAGGAGGCAGCCCCGGCGCAGGCGGAACTTGGCGGGCAGGGCAGGGAAGGGCGTTAGCAATGGCAACAAGGAGGGTTGCACTGGCAGGAGGGGTCAGCGGGTGGCTGAAGCGGTTAGGGCTAGGAAAATACGTGGGCGTTTTTGAGGTGCATGAAGTGGACAATGAAACACTTCCTCTCATATCCATGCAAGACCTTCACGACATGGGTGTTACAGCCGTCGGTGCCCGCAGGAAGATGCTGAATGCTATCTCAGAGCTCTATGCCCTGCCGCCCTCTCGGTGATCATCTATACAACTGCAGCTGACAAGGGGACGCTTGTCGACTCTTATGTGTGCAGTGACTAACCGATAGGAGTTGAAGATTGGCCTTCCTACCTACCTTCCCTTTTGCAGCATCTTCCTTCTGTGCATCGTGTCCGTTGCTGCCGTCAAACAGTGGATGACAAGTGTGAAGGGCGACACACGCTGATACTGTCAAACTGGATGGAGCTCATGGCCTGCGGCCTCGTGTGAGATAAATGTAGTTTGGTGTGATGCCAGCCTGCGGGCCTTGTCAAATTAGTAGTACCCTTCGCTGCTAAATTAGTAGTACCCTTCGCTGCTAAATTAGTAGTACCCTTCGCTGCTCTCTCTCCTCGCTGCCAGCCAGCCGCATGTCCCCTTTGCCTCTTTCCTCCATTCAGCTGTGCTAGGAAGGGTGTTTCATTCCACAAAACCAAGCACCTTGGTTTTGTAACGGATGGAGCTCCAGGGCGTTTGATGGGAGGTGAGGCAGTACATGATGCGATGCCTTCTCATTTGTTGTGGCTATGGTTGGGACGACAACAAGTTCAGTCAGTGCTCTTACTTCCGTCCCTACCAAGGATCTACCTAGTCCTCTGTCGATGCTCTGTCGATGCTCTGCGCCTGGACTGCATTGCAATCGAATGATTCGAATGTCATTAGTGTGTGTCCTGGGATGCTGGGCGGACAAGCTGTCGCTTTCTCCTCAGAGGACTGCATTGCAATCGGATGCTGGGCTGAGTAGAACCTTCAGATGAGTCCACTTTCTCCTCGGAGGAGTTCCTTCGGCTCACGGTATTGGACAATGCAGATGAGAATGCTCTTGTGTAGACTGTCGCTTGTGTGTTGTTTGGACTTGGGATATACTCTCCTTCAACTTCATCCTACCTTTTCTTTCTTCCTTGGATGCAAGGTGGTTTGTCAGGGCTCAAGCTGCTTGCAAGCTTTTGGGCTGGCTATGCTGTGCGCTTTTTTACTTGGTTGGGGGCTGGAGATTGCTGCGAAATAGCATCCTCAAACTATCGTCGTTGCCTGCTTCTCTATGGTAGAAGTCTTCCTTGCCTTTGGGTGTGGGGAAACACACACACACACACACACACACACACACACACACACACACA